ACCAAATCTTCCAGTTTTTCGGATACTCGACGCGCTCGATGTCGCGAGACAGACAGACGAATAGAGAAAGAAACGATAAACGTTGAATTTTGACGATCAGAAGCTACCAAAGAAACAATTTCAAAGCGAAGCTAAATTTATTCCTCCTCGATTCTTTTTTTTTTATCATCTTTTTCCTTTTATGTCCCACAGACGCGTTTACAGGGGAAGAGAAGGAGGAGTCGGTGTCGGCGATCGAATGTTCTATGCCTCGATAGTAAAGCAGGGGACGCGCACGAAAACATATCGATGAAGAATCAACGTGTAACAAGCGACGAAAGAAACGGGAATCTTTGGGCCCGACTTTTCCGCGCGATGCCCGCCATCTTGGTCCCGTCTGACCACCGGTGTGGATAAACGTAATCTCGCGATCTCGCTTCTCCCGCAAAATTTTCTTCCCTTTTGGTTTCATTTCTTTTTTTTTTTTTTTCTTTTCTTGGCTCTCGATTTGCTCTCTCTTACTCGTCATTTTGTCTCCACACACCGTTAATTACAATAGTATTTGTTTTGTTTTCTTTATATCCGTAATCTTACACATATACACTAGCTGGTTACAATAATTTGTGAAAAATATACATCAAAATTTTGTTACTTTTTACATCACAGATATTTTAATATAATATATCTTCTTTTAATTCTTAAAGATTTCTTTTCCTCCCCGTTTTCGACCAATCCGTCTCTCGCCGGATCGTTTTTTTTTTCTTTTTTTTTTTTTTAGCGTATCGCCCGCGACGTGTGGAAGGAGACGGCCGGACGGATCTACGAACGAACATCTCGGAGATAGATCATCGGGGTGGGAAGAATTTCCGGAGAATCGAATTTCTGCGATACCAAGGTGGTCTAATTTCGTTGGAGGTTCTTCGACCCCTTGTTCCCCGTTCCCTTGGTCCCGCCGTCTCCCTCGAAGAAAAAAAAAAAAAAAAAAAAAAGAAAACGTAAATCGACACTTTTTTTACAGCCGCGTTCGCAACGATATCTGCCCTAGCCCATGCGACCTCGTCATTCCACTTAAATACTCCTCGCGAATCTCTGCGATATATGTAGATAATTTCCTTTAGAAAACGAATTTCGATATCGAGAGAGAATTTTCCTACGAACCGCTACGATAACCAATGGACAGTTTGCATATGAAACGCCGATAATGTTTTTCAAATCACAGAACGTTGTCCCAATTTTCTTTGCATCTTCACGCGAATCTATTTTCCCTTTTGCCTCGTCAAAAATAGAGTGTTTCTTCTTATTTTGGTTGTTGTTGTTGTTGTTACACGCGCGTTTCATTCCGATCGCTTCCTCGCGATACATGGTCTCTTGGAGAGACCGGGGAAAAAAAGCTCCGAATTCCTCGAGCCGGAAACGAAACGTTCCGGCCTTGTTAATCGAAATCGCTGCGGCAGACACGTTGACGCGACTCTGTCACTGGGAAATCATTACACGGCAGCCTCGTTAATTACGCCGTTAGCGCCGATCGTCCCAATTGTCGCAACCCAATCGTCCCGTTCTCAGCGAACGTGAACGAGACTCGTAGCTCTCGCGTACCTAATTTGTGCAGGAGTCGAGGCTGTCGTCGTCGAGCCAGAAACTTCCCTCTTTCCACCATCTACTACCCAACCCTCGCCCATCCTCTGCCTCCCGCGCCCCGCCGCATCACACCCCTCGCACCCCTTCAATCTTCCGGATCGATCCTCAGAAGACACGCCCGTGGTTCTACTTCTCCGAATCACCCAAGAAATTCTCATTGTGCGTTCAAATGGTCGAATGAGTAAAGCAAGGAAAAAAATTTTCACACCGTCTCCTTTCGAACAACCCGATCCTCCCCGTCGCGAAAGAACGAGCGGGTGAGCACCGATGTCTCGCGCGAAGACGTTTTTCTCAAGGTGTGCGAGACGCGAGACGGACCGGGCCGGAACCGACGAGCGGACATCGAGGCTCGTGAAATCGTCGACGAATCGATGAAATTTCCGGCGACAAGGAGGAGTTAGGTCGTTGATCCTCGCCGACGTACATACATAATTCCAATCTGTTCTTCTTGTTTTTATGCATCTACGCGTGGCGAAGGGTCTTGGTTGTACACCACGCGGGTGAGTAAGTGAGTAAGTAAGTATGTAAGTGGTTTACTTACAAACGGCGGATCGACGACGACGGAAATCGACTCCTGGTTTAATTATAGGAGAACGCGGGCAGAACATCGCGACGTATACCTTTGTAACTGTAATTGAATTAACGACAATCATAATGTACGCACGTTTTACAATCATCCGCACGATAAATATTCATTTTTTCACATCTAACGATAAATCTTTCGTAAAAGGGTAGGATCGGGATCTCTTTCTTATCCCGGGCGTGGTGTCGGTGAACTTGGATTTTTGCGGGGTTAGAAAGGTTGGAGAGAATTCGATTAAACGGGAGGAGGGAGTTGGAGGTTAGGAAGGAAGGAGGTGGAGGAGGAAGGAAGAGGGTAGTTTTGGTACGAGTGTAAGTAGTGTCCTTCCCTTTTCTTCTCTTTTTCTCCTTTCTTCTTTTGGTGTAGTGCCTGGTGAATGTTTAGAAAAAGGTATCCTTTTTCCTCTTTCTTTTCGAGGTATCGAGTAGTTTTTTTTAAAGATCACACCGAACGAATTTACACTTTGACGCGAAGCAGGTGGTCGGCTGGTGAGTGATTTAAGGGCGGTGGAGGGGGTGGGGGGAGGTGATTTAAGGTGGACACAGGGTAGAGAAGGAAGGTTTAAATTTACGTTTACACACAATCATGATTAGTGCTTTGCTTTTCGCTTGTGTTTCTTCTGCTCTTCAGCTTCAATTATTAGGTTTTTTTTTTTTTTTATTCAGCTTTAACCCTAAGGAGACCTTAACGTTTACACTCAATAACTTGTTAGTTTTTTTTCTTTAATTATCTTCCGACGCGCTTCTCTGCGTTGCGGGTGTGCCTCACCCATTCTTTCTTCTTCTTCTTCTTTTTTTTCTTTTACTTTACTTCTCCCATTCAGAGTTACTCCTTAATTCACGGTTTTTTTGCTTTAAGTTTAGGGTAAATTTTTTTTGTGTTTAAGTTTAGTTCCAAAAAACATCGAGAGAGTAGCCTTGCTTATTACACGATTTACTTTTTTTTCAGTAAGGTATAATTTTTTTTGCGTTAATAAGGAATTTTTGCTTTTTTTTTTTTTTTAAACACCGAACATACATGCCTTATACTTTATGTACAGCCTAGAGTCTTTCAGTCGTTACTTTACTTAAAGAGAGTCATGAGATGAGTGCGTGAATTATCCTTTCGTTTCCTCTGTCCTCGTCCATTTTTTTTTCAGTTTTTTTGCTTTCCTTTTGGTTTCTTTTAGAATCAGAACTGTGAAAAATCCTCCTCGACAACACGCGAGAAAGACGGAAATTAATGTCGAGAGTCGAACGTGTCGCTGTATGTATTTCTCGCGTGGCTCGTTCCCTTACGCGTGTTCTCTCGGCTAACGAATCATCCTGCAACCTGAATTCGCTGCTTTCCTCGATTTCGTCTTTTGGTCCAACGTCCTGCTCGGCTACTACAACTAGCGAAACGACGAAATCGCCACTGTTCTATTTTTCTCCTTTCTTTTATATCGCCTCAATATTCTCCGTGTTCATCTATAATAGTCAAGGATCTCCTGTCGAACGGAATACTAATCGAAAATACGAGAAGATACCTCGAT